GCAAATAGCCATATTTCAAACGCACTTAAACACAACCAAAGCAAAAAAAATAAATTTATGCCTCTATCGAAAGCACTATTAATAGTAAGAATAATATACATTAAATATAAGTAATTTTGTCCATAATCGCACAAAATAATCATATTTACTCAAGACATATTTATATAACAAAATAATGCTTAAAAAAGTGTTTAAATAAACAAAAAATCAATAAAGCATATAAAAGCTACATAATGTCAATTAAATCAAACAAAGTGAACGAAACGAAATTTAAATGCATATTTTTTAAATTTTTAAAGAGACTTCTAAAATATATACGGAAATAACCAATAAAAAAATGAACCGAACCAAACAAAATATGAAACCCAGGAAAAGTTAATAATATCAAATAAGCACCATATTAAGAAGAATTAACCACACAAGCAGGACATTTAGTATACTCTATTGCTTGTAATAATATATGCCCTAGGACTTTAAAAATAATCATAGCCAATTACAACAAAGAATGCTTCTAACTATTCAATCATTCAATTGTAAAGTTTCGAAATCAATTCCTTTCAAATTTCTCTACATCAAACTTAAAATTTGAAATACAGAAATAAGATAATAAAAAAAACAGAAACTCTTAATAATGATATACCATATGAATCAGAAATAGTATCTTCACCTAAATAATCTTTTATAACCACAATGTGTATGCCTAAAGATAAAAACAGTAAAAACCCATCTAACAGTAAATTCTTATGCAATGAGGTAGACATGGCTTTATCAAAATAACACCAAATTAATAATACAATTTAAGGAATCAGAAGAATATAAGTACAAAATAAAATAATTATCTGTGAAAAAACCCAAAACTTATCATTAAAAGCTAGTAAAACAGGCCTACTCTCAGCCAAAAAGCTCTAGTATCAACCGCATTTATTATGTTTCTATTCATAATATCAAGTCTATGACTACCCATAAATGTTGTGTTTCTAGATTGCATCAAATCATACCAAGCAGTACCAATAGATTTTGGGGTTGCCGCACAATAGACTAGGGCATAGGAAGTCATAGACTTATTATTATGAATAGAAACAGGATAGACGCGGTGGAGACTAGAGCTAGTTGCCAGACATGGGCCTCGAGTTAGTCTACCAGAGGCAGAGTATGAGAAATAACTCCTCGTGGGGCACAGATGGGGTGGCAGCGGTCACATAAGGCAAGAGGGAGAATCTGATAAGACTTAGGGAACCAGAACTGTCTAGCAATATGGTAGACTCAGTATACCGATCAAAAGGGGGGTGAGAGGAGTATGGGTGTGATAAAGCCAGTGTGTAATGTGAAGAGTTCTTATGATATCAAATGAAAGGTCACACTATACTACAGTTAAATAAGCAAGTAAAAGGCCCAGTATACCGATCAAAAGGAGGGTGAGAGGAGTATTGGTGTGATAGAGCCAGTGTATAATGTGGAGAGTTCTCATAAAATCGGCTGAAAAGGTCTCAACCTACCACAGTTAAATAAGCAAGTTGTGATATTGAAGGCGTGATACGAGGCTATAGGATTGGGGATTAGGCCAGGCCGGAAGGAGAGATACCACAATTGTATAGAAGTTGTTTGCTATTGTTTTCGCAAAATAGACATATTTGTAAGAAGATGCTGTCGATTACGAAATAGACTACTGAAACGGGATTATAGACAATGACCTGTCAATTGTCGATAACAAGCTGAGGGGAGTTTGTAATTTCGGACGGGATAGACATTTAGACCCTACAACTTTCATCCTGATTTTGCATTCCTGTCAGCTTGCGAAAGGTTTGGGTGATTTACTGAGTAAGTGGAACAAAAAAATAATGTATAAAGATAAATAGATACCTTATACCGTACTTATGTGCATATAAAATCGAAATGGTTGCTGCCGGCCACGAAGCGACAAATAAAAGCTAAATACAGTGAGGACGGCGAAACAAGTCCTTCTTCACACAATTCAACAATCTTCACTACGCGACAATCCTGCTTCGGTTTCCGGTGAGACTACATCAAAAATTGGTTAGAACTAAAATTTCCATCCAAATGGAAAGTCATGTAAGCGCGTCAGCGAATCGCTAATTTTAGTAATCCATTCGTTTCCGTGGAAACTAGTTCAGTTACTTTTCAATCAGAACTATTCCAAACGAGTATGTAATCTAAAAATCTGAATTGTCTATTCTTATCCGATTTTATCAAACATTTATAATCGAAGGTATGAAGACCAAGATGGTGTGGCCTTTTGTGGGGTCGCAGTCTCCTTTCGTTGTATAGAGGTTGT